AAACGGAGGGACGCCGCGACGGAGCAGGACGGCGGAACGGGACACAGACGATGCTGAAGCGATGCAGGTAAAATTCCTCGCGTTATTCCTGTTCTTCGCGGGAATACTCGCGGAAATATCCGCCTCGCGCGAATCCCCTTTCAATACATCCGGCTTTGTTTCGTTAGCGCGCGACGTTGATCCGCTGTGTCGCATCTGCGCCGAAATGAGCACCGAGTCCTGCGGGATAGACAGCTCGGCGAACGCGAGGAAAAAGCCGCTTTATATGTTTTTAACGGGGAAGGCGAAACTAATGGTTTGCGTTTCATAAATTTTTCCCGATTCTTCGGCGCGCGCTCATATTTCGCACGTTGAATTATGACATTCGAATCGGGTATGGTATTTATTTCTTTTAATTATTCATAACTCTCCGCGATTGATTTGTGTTTTTGTTCTGTTTGAAAATATATTTATTAATTTATAGAGTTAAATGGAGATAATGGATATATTAGATTTTTTAAAGTGTTTGATTATTAACATTGTTTTCTTTGCAATTTATAATATTTTAGAAGGAAGAGATTATTATTGTATCTACTGTGTTTATAGATCAGTTCATTTACAGCTTCGTTTTCAAATCCGGAGATGTGTTAAAAAAAGTGATGCTGGGACACTCTCAAACTTTCTCGAGCCTTTGCGTAGACATTTTTAGTGATCGATCGTTTGGAAAGTGTATCTTATCTTGAAATTGCAAGTAATTCAATTACAAAAATTATAAACATATAAATTTTTAATGAACGTAATTGTACGTGAAATGCAATTAAATAATTAATAGATTCCTATTAGACAACATAATTCATTTCACAAAGATATTTAATATTGAAACGTATCGAAGGTGTTATTTCAACGTATATATATTTCAACATATATTAATCTGTGAATCACATTTTATGTCTAGAAAGAAAATTCTGTGTTATACACGCGTTATTATTTAATTTTCCAGACGTATTGAACTCGATGAATGGCAAACCGATTTATTGCAATTTCGAAAACCGATACAAATGGCATCGCTTTCGCGCATAGTTCGTCGATTCGCATTCGCGTCGGCGGCCGTTGTCTCATTTTTATTTCGAAATAAAGCGAGGAATGCGTAATGATAATGAACCGATCTGCGCGGGATCGGTGTGCCGCGGCACACAATGCCATTAGTACACGACAATGGAGACTATGTCGGGCATTAAATTATTCATGGGATAGCTGTTGCGCCGCGCCGCGCGACGACCGGCGCATCGCACAGCCGCGCGTTTCTCGCTGCGTGACAAAAGTTTTGCATTTGAATGCGATCTCGCGTTACGGTGCGATTTCGCAAAAATTGAAAGCCGCGAGTTCCACCCGGTAGAGCCGTCCGTCGGACCCGGTTTCTGGGTCAAAACGGACCGCGGCATCGGCGCCGGGGCCGGGATCGATTACGTGCCGGGGGGCCCCACGAAGAACCACGCCGCGGTCGGAATTCGCGAGTCTCGAAGGACACTCGCCGGGGAAGAGAGCGACACTCCGTGGTCGACTGCGTGTCCTAGTTTCGCGCAGGACGCGCGCCAGGCCACCACGATGCATCTCTCTGCCCGATACCCCGGAGGCAATATATGTCGAGGGAGTTGCGTCACGCGAGGCACGCATCGTATGGCAAGAAAAATGCGCGAGCGGACCGACCGCCGAACCGGTTATAACGACGAGTCAACAGCCAGCGGATCGCGGACTGGGAGAAAGAAGCCTCCTGCGAGGAGTATCACGTTCGAATCGCGTTTTCTCCGTAGAAAAACGTAGCACGCGGAAGATAAGAAAGACTCGATCGCTTTACATCTACAGTTTATTTTTATTTTATTTTATTTTTTTAATAAAAATAACATTTCCAAGGCTTCAATAGCTTACGAAGGATATAATTGACCTTGTATTTTTATATTTACTGCCTTATTTAGAATTCAATCAACAAATTTTGGCTTGCCGTTTGTCCCAATTTTTCACCCTTCAAAAATCTGGAACGTAATTATTACTGTAACAAACAATTACGCGTGCAGATTAGTGAGACAATAATAAATTTCGGAAGCGAGACTGATGTTTTTGCACGCGGGAATGTTAACTATTTTCGAGAATAGCGAATATTCATTTTACTCTCTCGCAATCGAGAATCACTTAAATTTGATAGAACGTCACGACATCTCCGGTCGGCGAAACTCGCTCGAGTGACGAGTTTGATTTCGCACGGAGACAATCGCGGGATCGCGCAGATTCTGGAACTCTCTCTTTGTTTCCGCCTCCCTCCTCCGATCCGTCCGTTTCTACTTCTCCCCTAGGCGACGATGTTTCACACAACGCGTATGTAGTCGCGACGTGACACAGTCTAACGGCATTCACCCGACCTCGTCAACCCGTTCCTACCGTGTACGCGTGCATTCCTGCGTCTTCCTCGCTCTTACGTCGCTCGTGATAACACTTCCGTCACGCGTGTGCTCGCACAATCGTTTGTCATATCGCGACGGGTCATACGAATCCGACACGACCAAGTCATGTCAAAACTCATTTTATCTCGCGGGCCACGCGAACAATTTCGCACAATTTTACGTCGACGCGATGGCTATGCATTTTCAACATTCACGTACCGGCATCTCGGATTTGGATCCATCCTCGAACGTTTTGATTTGTGAATGCTAAGAAAATCTATAACTCACGATCATGTCTTTGACAGCACATCTAAAATCCAATTTAAAAAAAATATAAAAAAACCCCGTGACAATTCGTAGAAATGTTCACAGAACAAAATCGAGGGTAATAATAAGTTCCCTTTTTTTTCCCTGCATTTAATGTTAAATCTATTCGAGAACGTTTTATTCTTGAATTCCGATTTGTCTCTCGTTTATCTTATAAAAATAGAGGACTAAAATTTTCAGAGATTAACGGTCTGATTTAGCAGTAATTGAGCAAACTAACAAAACTATGTTCGTATTCCGCATAGTATCGCTCATTTGAGTTTCTGTGTAATATTGGAATTTCCTCCCCTTCCTTCGATCGAATATTACCTACGTCACAGTTAACGGAGATAGCGCGGATAGTAATGGTAAAATACTTGTACATTTAAGTCGGACTTTAATAATATGCAGTGGCGCGGATGCAATACGTTACGTCGCGACAATTGCTGCTCCAGTTCCGTCAAGAATGTCGCAGGACAGCATTATGCATGAACCTCGACTTAAATTCATTCCGCATTTTCCGCAAGATCGGTAAATAAACTAAAGCGATATAAGAATAAATGTTTACACTTTACAATTTTGAAATAAAAATTGCAAGTGTCAATAATTTCTAAGAGAAAAAGAAAAACAACGACTTTCAATCAATAATTTCAATGATTAATAATTTCTTTTTTTTTTTAAATTCTCTTAACTGTTACGTGTTTATTTCTTGAAACGATAAAGAACAGAAAATAAATTATTTAGAACAGCTTGCTATATGAAAAATTAAATACAGAGAATATTTTATTATTTTTCTGCTAATTTAAATTGGCCATTTTGATCCTTGTAATCTTTTTCGACAATCTGCCTCAACAACAATTAGTTATGATATATTTAGATGAAAAATATATGAATATAAATCGTGAGATACTAATGGCTGGTAACAAAATTTTTTGCAACAGTAATGAAGCACACTTGGGAAATGTCGGATGCCAAGGAACGGTTATTACATTGCGTCTCTTAAATTTTATCGTACCGTTAGCGATTGTCCTGCCGTTGCCTGGTTATTACAGATCATTAGCAATTCGTTTCATTTTATTTTAATGTTGAGAATTTAGCAGTAAAATCCAATGTGAGACTGGTTTGAGCTCGAGGAAAATACGAAATTCTCCGTATCTTCTCCGTTTTCTGCATCCTCAACGAAATTTCCTCATTCCATTTCGCGCGATCTTAAACGAAAGGCTGCTTGGCAGATTTGTGTATTTTTGCTCTAAAAATATGCGCCGACGCTCTCTGACTTTTCAATTCAAATTTAGGTCAATGCGAAATGAAACTCTATTTTCCCAACAGTCTCTCTCAGCTTCTGTTCATGTTGTTTGTCAATTCTGTACTTGGAATTTTTATACAAAGGCATTACTTTCGTAATGCTAAAACTTTGTTTTTCTGTCTTTTGCGATATAAAACTTTGTGAAGTTGAAAGAGAGAACTCAAGAAAGAAATTATTTAAATTCTAAATACGCTTATTTAATAGTTGTTACTTTTTGTATACTTTTGTTCTTAAACTTTCCCTATTCTTCGTAGAGAGAAACATCCTGAAAGAAAGTACACGATCGTGTTATCATTAAAATAATGCGCTCGTGTAATGCATATGTTTATGAATTTTATTTGGGACGTCGAGAGTAAAACGCGATACTTGACACTTTCGATATACCATAAGCTATAAAAAAATAATCTTTGAGATTAGAAAATAAATGTCTCGCGTTACTTTCTAAGAAGTTATTGTATCTCAACGGAGATTGATGCTCGAGAGTGTACATTTCTAATAAAAATGTCGGTTGCCATATTTCAACTCCATATATTTTATTCGCCGCCATTTTATTCCTGCACTTCCTTAATGCAGCACGAAACTTGTGTGCACGAAACTAGTGTAATCGCCTAATGTACTGATTTCTTTTACAGTTGACACACCACGAGATCTCACGTGGTAAAAAAACACGCGTCTCCAAGATAAGAAGTCCCGACATCAAGCGGTACTCGAGGTGGATTCTGAAACGCCGACGTTTCAGAATCCCGAGGAATCGCGCATAGTAACAACGATTGGAGAAGGAAGAAGGAAAGGAAGAAACAAGGGTATTATCACGTGATAATTTAGGTGACACACGGTGGAAGGAACGTTGCCTCCGCGCTGAGAGAAACTTCTCGAGCGACGAGTTAAGGTGAGGAGAATCCTCCTCTTCTAACTTTGCAAGCCACGAACCGTCGAAATATACGTAATAAACGATTGCGGCGTTATCCACGGCCGAACGGTGCTCCGCAATCCACCACCTGTGGCTTCTGATAACTCCTCTGATAAAGAGAGAAAGAGGAGCACCGTGACGCCGCCGCGAGGCCTTCGACTTTCAGCTCGAGATTAACGCTAAGCTCTCATTTTTAAAGAGTACTCTCTTTCCATTAATCCAGGTAGACATACTCCGCGAGTTGCGAGGGAACATTCCAACCGTATTCGTATATTTGAGAGACGATCGATTTTCCGCTAAGAGAGGAGGAAGATGTTAAGTCTCCTTTACGATTTAGAGCACTTTTGAAGACTCCGAGCGATCCGGTGAAAACGCCGAGAGAAGATCTGTTCTAAACGGGAATTGAAAGAGAAATCTTTTCAAAAGCGAGATTAATTTGTTCTAATTTAAAGATCTGCCGGCGGATCAACGCGGAACGGAAATCACTGGAAATCACCGATCTCGGATGATTAAAGAGATCATTTCTTCGAAAACGCGATAGAAAGCGCGTCGTAGATCTCGGAAAGATTCTGAAATTTCCGAGGGAGAAGTTTAACGGAGGTGGGACCGGCCGTGACATCCCTCTCTTTCTTTTTCGTCGTGAACCGTGGAAGGTAATTCGCGAAAAACGGCGAACCACTACGGGGTGCACTACGCGAACTCGTACGCGTGCAGCAACGGCGCACCGAGCGTGTACACCAGCACCGGTTGTTGCACGAATATCAACGGTGGCGGATCCAACGTGCAGCAGCCGCAGCCCCACGAGGATTATCGTCCGATCTACTTTTACGTGGCGCAGCCCTATACGATCCCGTATACCTTTGCCAAGAGACCGAAGCCCGCCGCGTCGTCGCTTCTAAGGGCGGCAAAGCCGCGCGGCAACAATTGCCGCGTCAAGTTCTCCAAGCGGCTCGGGAACGCCGACTTCTCGCAGAAGGTCAAGCAGGGCGAGTTCTCGCGGAGTCTGAACCAGGTGCACTTCGCGGAGAGTCAGGGTCAAGGTAACCGCACGTTCCTTCAATGGACTGAGAGAGAAATTGAAAAGCTCACTTTCAAACCGCTTTAAATTCCTGTTTCTAAAAAATGCTTTATGTATAAACCGTCGACGTGTATTTTTTACTTCTTTTTTTATATATGATTTTAAGCGGCTTAAAGATAGCTTCTCAATTAATTGTTTAATTCAGTCGTTATTTGCATTTTTTTTATTTAATTCAGATTCTTTCTGATGAATTAATTTAATTTAATAAAATCGATTCTCCTGATGAAATGTTCGTAACTCTGTTGGCGCACTGTATTTATGGCTACTTAACGCTTCAATAACGTTTTTCTCTCAATGATCTACTATGCGTAACTTTCGTCGCATATTAAATTATATATTTGAGTTATAATTGAGCATGTACATGTAAATTGAGCTGTGTATAACATGAGTAATGATTGGAATTAGTAGCGAATTAGAAATCATCTTGTCGTTATCCTCAGAAGTGCCAAGTACGACGCCTTGTACCGGTCTTTTTCTTTTATCATCACTTCTGAAAATTGTTTTGTTATTTATTAAATAATCACATTGCGTTCGAAGTACTATACTTCCTTGCGGGTACTTTCTCCTCCAGTTTTACATGAGGGTTGCACGAAATATTAAAGCTTCGAGCGCTTCATTTTCAAGACGCTTTCACGCCCGCGGATTTCTTGTAGCAGGCCGGATAATTGTTGCGAAAGCGGCATAGTTTCTGTGTGGCATAATTTAAATAGCGACTGTCGTCAAGTAGATTGCCGATGCCCATGCGAAGAGCGTCTCGTTCTTTCTCGCGCGCGGAAACACGAGCACGAGCGTCTCTCTGGTCAGTTAAACGAATGGAGAAAACACATCCTAGAAGAGAAAGGAAACAAATTGCATCGATGCATAGTGATCGAAAGCTGAAAAAAATGTGACAAAAGTCAGTTCTTCTAAAAACAATAAAATTGAAATAATTCTAATTAAATAATATTTAAGAATTTAATAATATTTAAAGAATTTATATAGGTCAGGGAAATTAAGTACATCTCTATGTACAACTATAATTCTTTGTTTGTATACATTTTGTTAAATTTAACGTCAATCGTATTCTTCATTATTCCTTGAATTACTACATTTTTATCAATTATTAATTCTTCCGGACAGCTGCAATGCGAATAGCTAAGGAATTTTCTCAGGTCAGAGCAGAAATGCTGTTTCATTTCGTTCGCGCGAGAAGGATCGAAGTTTGCTCCGACGTTAAAAATTTGTACTGTTATTCCGACGGTAGCGGCTTCCATCGGGAGGTTCTCATGTATGCGGCGTAACGCGCGGATGATGTTAATAAGATGCAGCGAGGCGAGACTTTACTCCACGCAGAGATCGCGAAAACGTTTGCTTTCCGCGCTACGTACGGGATACAGGATGAAAAGCGTTCTTTTTACTTTGGCACGAACGGACGGAGGAAAAATGTGCATTCTACTCGTTTTTTTTTTCAGATGAATACTTTTATTGTATCCGTTGGACAATCACGATTTTGATATGCTTAACAATGCTTAACAAAGTGAGAAAATCCGTTCAACATAGTTAGAAAAGGAAGCGTTAAGGGGCAGAGATGACTCAGGAGATTAAAAAAGAGATTAAGAGATTAAAAAAGAAATTTTTCCACGAAGTATTCCTAACAGCTATTGATAGATAAAAAAATTTTAATCTTTATTTTAACTCGATATTAATAGAAAGAACTTTGAGTTTCTAAAGTATTTATGAAGATTGATTTATAATCGCGAAATCATGTATGGAAAAATTGCAATTGTAACGTATCAATAGTATCAATCAATAATAATCAAATCATTTTCAACAAGACATACTTGGTGATAAGAATCTTCGCAAATTTCGCATGATAAAACATTCAAAATCAACTTTAAAATTTTTGAACGTTTTTTTTTTTCCTTAATACATTCTCATCACTCTTCTACTCCGCAGTGCTCGCAAGCTATCCGAAAGCTGGACCATCATCTCGTGACCCGAGGATGACGTCGATGTTCCGAAGAGGTACAATCTTCGCGACCTTCTTCCTGTCATTGTTGGGCGGTGGGCTCGTCTGCGCCGCCCTTGTAACGCAGCACTGGGTCGAGGCACGACCGTGGAGAACGCCGAATCCTCAGGAGAGCGCCGGCAGAGTTCATTTCGGATTGTTGCAAGGCAAAAAGGAATTGAACGTCGCTTATGGATGGAGGACATACCACGTGTCCGGTATGTCGGTTCCTTTCCGCCTTTCTCTTTGTGCAACATTGATTGCGTTTTGCGCGTAATCACTTCGATCTTTCTCCCGGTATGACAGCATATCGTAACCTTGAGTAGTATGCACACCGATTAATGGTTGTGTGTGTTCTAATCGGAAAATTGATATGTAACCTAACTACCGTTAGCGTAAGATTTCAAGCTACGTGGAGTTAGTTACAATGTTGCAATGTTGCAATAATATGCGAGGTATCTCATAACTTGCGATCTTAAATATATATCAGATAATAGCGATAATAGTATACGCTAGAAACAAGTTTATAGAATGAGGTGTTTGCGCTATAAAAATCAATCGTTTAAGGAAAAGTCTGTTTTACGGGAAAAATATATAAAAAGATTTTATAAGAAAATTCACATAAAAGAACATACAAGGAATAATTACTTCTCACTAAATTCTACAATATAAATCAAGAAAAGTCGTTCATTTAATCGAGAATGAAGAATAAGATGGATAGTAGAATATACTCAAAATTGCTTTTTTTCCAAATTATCTTCTTCGATTTCGAGGATACCCAATCTCAAGTAAAATAAATTCCTGCCAATTCCTTTTAATGCCGCTGTTTTTCGTCAGAATTGTCCCACCGGGATTAGCCTACTAAAGCGATTATCTCGCGATAGCTTCGTAAATCGTAACGAGAATTGGGCATTGTACGATTATGCTGAACACTTTCTGAACTATGCTATTCAAATGACTCCCACGACGAATTACGATCGCACGAAGATATCCACGAGAGAAAGGCTCGCGGATGATGGAACATATTGGTATGAGGATAATAAATCTGCGATTGATAACCGAATGCATTAGAGTTCTATTCGCTGTCCGACGATGCCTGCAGTTGATCGCGGACGTGCGATGTGCATGCGTGTGCGATAAATCAGTGATTTGATAATCGTCGTTAAATTCGTTCCATTGATTTCGCGTACCGATCGAAATCGATTGCGTCGCTGATGGACGCATCGCCGCATCCTTTGTACCAGATGCTCGGACTATTGACAATAACTTTCCGAAAAAGGTGTAAAATTAACCAACATATTAATGAAAAATTTCAAGTCGAGTCTTAGTAATTGTATATTTTATTGATGCGTGAAGTTTTACGCAGTGCGGTCTAGTTATTTTTAAGATAAGTGAATGAAAGCAAAGTTTTCTTCAGGATGTTATCAAGCATAGTCTCGCAGTGAAATTGTTTTCTTTTTTAATTATTTTACATATATATTTTTTTAATCGGGATCATTATTACGAGAAGGAACTGTTATCGGATTACAACCAATGTATAATGGCGGTCGAAGCACTCAACTGGAAACATCCGCTTCTCGTAGCATCTTAGAATAGTATCTTCATAGATTTGCATTTAAAGTTCGCAAAATAATCTTTTAAAAAATATATATATATACCGTACAGAAAAGCATGCAATGATCATACAAAGAAAATATCAAACATATAAATCTTTTTTGTTAGAATTATGTTATTCTCTTATATATAATCTTAAAAATGTCACACTTGGAAATTTCTGATTACGCTTGCACTTTATCTCTTTCTCTCTCCCTCTGATTACAATACTGGCTTGTCGAGCAGGTTTTTACTTTTCAAATTTTACGAATTATATTCTAATTCCGGAACTTTGCATATCATTTTAATCTCTACACCGCCGTGTAGAGAAATTGTTGTTAAGAAATTTGATCTGTCCCTGACTACTTCCACATCCGCCGAGTGCACTTTTGCGAAGCGGCGGTGCATTGTGCCACGCGCGAAAAAGATAAATTTCTTATACACAATGCATAATAATCGTGCCGATGAGCAAGCGACTTTTACATAGCTATTATGCCGTACTTCCGGAGAAGAACAACAGAATCGCTGGCACGCGCCGTGAGAAACATTTCTCTTTCATTCAGGCGGGTAATGGGTCCGAAGGGATACGTAAACGTGCATTCCACGTATCCCACCGAATATTCCTTTAATCGCAGCTTTTTTAGTCAATTTAGAAAGGACTTTTCCTCTAAAAATTGCGGCTAAAATTGTCGAAAGAAATCATTGTTTGTTACATCTTTCGAATTATTACTACTTAATTATCATGCCTTTATACATATTATATTTAAGATTCAAATTAAGATCTAATTTGAATAATTGTAATAACGCTTTCATCTTTTTGCTTGCAGAATCTGACAAAAAATAAAATTACTAATTTTTAATATGTCTTTAAGGTGAATAAAAATATTATATTAGATTGTTAGGGAGCGACACATGGTGATCTTTCAAGGAGAAATTCTCAAGCGTATTCGAGCGTAGCGTATATCTAAGAGTTATATATGCACGTTCAAATTTCTCTCGGTAAAACCACGTGCACGTGCTTGCATGTTATCATATATATATAACAAAAAAACCTCCAAGTTACGAGACGTATATGCGGGTAACAATAGACACAGAACTAGTTTTAGCGTACAAAAATCGACGACCAAGCCTCGTGGTCTACTTTCACGTGCTCAAAGCATTGCTTGTATCATCGCGCGTTACTGATGCTGACCGCGGTAAGAGTATCGGATTCTAGTACGCGATCAGTTTTATACGGGCCAGAAGACAGGAGAAGAAGAAGAGAGAGAGAGACAGAGAGAGAGAGAGAGAAGAGAGAAGAAGAAGGAGCGGTCGATAATTCCACCTGATCGCGGTACATTCACAGTTTACACTTAACATTCTTTAACGCTCGATTCCACTAACGTAGATTAATTTTAATCTCAGTTCAACTTACTCTTCATTTTTTTCTAGTTCTAAGAATTAGAAAAAGATGAAGAGCAAGTTAAACCAAAATTAAAGTAAATCTACGTTGATGAAGTCGGGCATAAGTGCATTTTTTAGAAGTACGTTCAGTGTGAAACGTCATCAAACACGTCATCAAACATTTTTTTACATGTAAACAAATTAAATCTTATTCGTGCATTTATAAAGAGAAATATCTTAAATAAATTTTAAATCTAGCAAAAAATCGTAAGAATTTTAGAATCTAAGAATTTTAGGAATTTAGAGCTATAAGAATTTGAGAATCTCGAAATTGCAAAATTTGCGGAGCTTAACGTCGTTTTACGGTTTCTTGGTTTCAATTTCGGTCGGAGGAACGATTTTGAGGAATAAAAATGATAAATGCGCCATATCGGATTGTAACAACAGGAATATCACGACTACCGGGGGTAGATACGTTTTTGAGTACTTGCGAGTACTTGAGTACTACTTTGGTGGTAGATGCATTTTCAAGTCGGCGATAGGAACTTGGCGGCCGCCTCCGGCGAATGCAATGATCCGTTATTCACGCCGTCGTAAGTTGAAATGTCTCGCGGAAACTTCGTCGTATCCTGGAAGCGTAATGCGCGAAATATTCCTACTTATATTCGTTCTTTCACTCTCGAGCGTACATCACGCCCGAATATAAAATGCGGTAGCGGTTGGCTTTTAGTTTCTGCGACGTGCAATACATCCGCATCAACGAGGAGCGTCGGAAGCAGCGGAGCATCCTGGATATTTACAAGTGTGAAGTTACCGAAGATATATTTTCATATAGCAAAGTTAATCGCTTGCGAGCTGGCTTCGTTTCAATTTTCAGACATTGCGCAACGCTTGCGTAATTCTTATTCCCCGATACATTTGGAGAAGCAATTTAAATTTATTTCAGCAGCTATGCGACTATCGAAACGGAATACAGTAGTACGAAAATTGCGGAGATAAATGCGACGAGATAATATTAAAACAATATGCAATAAAAAGAAAATGATTGCAATGTTTAAAGATAAAAAGTTTCTTGCGAATATAAAAAAAAAATTATGACACCGTAACTTTATCGTGTTTAAATTAAATTTATCGTATTTAACAAAATCTTAATTCCGAGATTAAAAATTAATTTTAATTAATTTTTATTAAATTTTAATTAATGTTTCAGTACCTCAAATGATTCGGCAGGATCCATCGGTGATGTCTTGGGCCCTTTGGATCGGTACTTTAACAACGACTTCGGCTGCTCTCATAGCGGCTGCGCTTGCTGCTCTTTTAGCAGTTTTAAATACAGCTACTTCACCAAGATCGAAGATTTTGTCCATTCCCGGCGTGTACTTTATAAATATGTTAACAAGTAAGTATTTTTTCAAGGACTCTTTTAATTAAAATTGTAAAAAAATAGGTCCCTTAAATTATTAACAAAACAAACATCTTAACTTTTCAACATATTTTGTGGATTGATCTTTTATTCTTTGTCTGTATTTATTAGTATTTATTAAATAATTTTCTTGTATCTCTGTATTTCTAATATGCCGATTTTAAACAATTAATTAATTTCCGTCAAGTAAAAATGAAATCGTATCATGAAACTTATATAAAAATGTTTATATATGAAAAATCAGATAATTACAGAAAGTATTTTAAGTTCATAAATAATACATTTCACGTGCAACACGGATTCTCGTGACTTATTTTCAGTGTTAATGTGCTTAGCAAGCACTTGTACTTGGTTAGCGCAATATTATACAAGATTATATGTCAATGTGCTTCCAAAGGAGGACATCGATAATATGTGGACCAGCGAGGGTTCCGCTGAGCTTGGTTATTCATTTTGGTAAGATACATTTTTTATATTTACGATAAAATATTAATTTTAAATTAAGCATTTACTGAGAAGTAAAAAAGTTTTCGTTGTTCTTACTTTTTATTATTCAGACGGATTAATATGATTTAAATTTTCTCATCAGATTTTTTTCGATTTTTGCAATTTAATTGCGAGTCGTTGATTGTAATAGTGACAGAGAAGAATCAAAATTGTTAGAGTGCTAATTAGTTTAGTGCTTGAAGAGAAAACAATTTGTGCAGATAAATAAGTATGCTATTCGAATTAGTTGACTAATGTTTAATTACAACTGTCGCATATTGCGTTTCTGTGCAATTAAAAAGAAATTTCTTCTTTAAATTAAAGTTCAGATGTGTACCTTTTACATAGCATGTTTATATTATTCTTGAGCTAATTACTGAATTAAATTCAGTATCCTGAAATTTAAAATAGGTAGTTTCTCATTATCTCTGAATATTTTTCCATTTAGGCTCGTGGTTAGCGCTGGCGTTGTGCACCTCATTAGTATAGCATTAGTCGGCTGGGGCTCAGGTAGAGAAAAGGATGATCGTTTGGAACCAATACCGGCACTTGAAGAGAAAACAGCCGCAGCGATAATGTTATACTAAATGTTATAATAGTGTTAAAATCTATTACGACCCTAAGTTAACATGTGTAATGTCAAATTAATAGTGTCTATCAAGACTGAACGAAAAATTAGCCGAGATTAAAAGGTAAGTAAGTAAGGCGGTAAGATTCTCGTTTACAGATTTGTGCTTTGCACAGTTCCTAGATATCTGCCAGATATTTGTAATCATTTGTCTAAACACAATTTAATTTTTGTAACAGATATTGTGCAATTTCATCTCGAATTAAAAGATAAGTAGGTATAACGTTATAGGCGTAAAATGCGCTGACAAAGGACAGTATTTGCTGTGACAAATTAAGAATTGGAATATGACGATGTACATGTATGACATATTTGTGTATACATCTCGTCGTATTTTATGCATCAATTATGTTAGCTCATAGTTTCGACGATTAATCGATAAATTTAAGAAGAATATACAACGCGATCGATTTATAATTAAAAATTACGTGTTATTCATTTTACATGGCATAAATAGACGAAATTGAGCATGGAAAAACGCTTTATTATAGCTTAATCTATACATTAGTTTTTATCAATATATAAGGCCGCAATCTAGACAATTATCGTTTCAAACTTCGGTTAACAAATTTCTATAGTTGATAGTATAAACATTCGTATACAGATGCGTATGTAAATTGTGCTACGAATTAAAATGGTGTGCATTCTGTTATATCATTTTAATATTTCGTAGTTAATAGTTAAAATCCATTTGTCTTACATTCTTATTTAGCATTATGTTCTTTTCTCTTTTTTTTTTTTTACAAAGGCGATTGTTTTGACTAGACTGGGCTCTTGTGAGAACGATAATATATATACATATACATATATATACATATATATTTATATATATTTATATATATGTTACTATCTATAATTCAATTAGTTAAGGATGATATTTCGTAAGTAAGCGTGGCGTGCCTTTTCTTCGAGACATTGAATCTTTAACAATTTCTCGAAACTGTTATTTCCTTATAAAATGTACGTATTTCACATCAATTCTGTGGCCGCGGCAAATTGTACATGGAACATATTATGAAATGTAAATATAATAAGTTTGCTCGAGAGTATATTTATTACAATGATGTCGCGGGCGTAATAATAAAACAGCGAACAGGTCATAGATCGTACATTTCTCGTATATACTTTATTTTCTTTATTACGTCGAGATCCTCGTCCTTATAAGTTATTTCACATAAATAGTCTCATGCGTATTATACGCAACGATAATATTTCATAGGTATGTGATAGGAAGAAAATGTACATTAGGAATCGTACATTTTCCTCATAAGGAAAGATGTGTGATAAGACGCGGGATAATAGAAAAGAATCTAATGGAGGGGTACAAGAGAATTTTATTGATATCTCTATACCTTCTCTAATTTTAGTCCTTTGAAACAAGATATTTTGGTAATAAAATGACATCTAACACTGTGCAAAATAAAAACAATGACGAATTGTCTGAAATATCGTGCAAACGATTTAAATTAAATATTTAAATCTCTATTGAATCGGAAATTTCGAACAAATTTGTCATACTTTCTATTTTACATAGTTATCAATGTGCTCTATTACCCCCACATATCTTGTTTCTCCAATTTTCACTATACATCTACCACTAAAGCTATTTAACATTCCTTCCACTTTCTTGTCTGGAAGAATAAAGCCACGCACAAATAAAAATGGACAGACTTCCGTATTAGATTAAAAAGTCTATTCGTGTATAATATATCGCTCTTAGAGAATAGTAAGCTTATATAAAGTTACATGATTAACTGCGAGTTTGATGTTAGCGTCGACTGACTTTCGACCAGCCATCATCCTCTAATGGTCGTCTTCTCTCGTCAGATCTAGGCGGAAGTCTGTCATCTTTACGATCATCTCGTCTGAAATAGACAAGAAAAAAATCGAAGTTTAGATTAAAACTTAATTAAACAATCTATATTCACTCAAAATGTGTAAACTAAAATAACAGCTTATCTTCTTAATTTATTGTTATTACTAAATAATAACTCACTCGCGCTTGGGTGGATCTCTTGGAGAATCTTGAGGTGGATCGCGTTTCCGCCAGTCTTGATTGGTATTTCGTGTTGGTTCATCACGACGATCGCGATAACCACTGCGACGATCGGACATTCTACCACGATCGCGATCACGATCACGATCACGATCACGATCACGATCACGCTCTCGATCTCGATCGTCACGTATAGTATCACGTGGAATTTCGCGCATCTGTAAATGCAATTAAATAGAAATATCATTAACAATACATACCTAAAAATACATACATATAGATATATAATCTATATAATCTATATAATATAAATATTAATAAATGAAGTAATAATAAAATTAATAAATTAAGAAATAGAAATTTTATATATCCAATATTTTATAATATATGTAGCATGTATTGAAAAAACATATACTTACTCCGCGTCCATCCATTCCACGGTCACGGTCACGGTCGCGGTCATCTCTTTTATCGAAACCACGGTTGTCTAATCTATCTCGATCTCTTAGATCATCTCTATCGTAATTTTCATCTTTCCTCCATTTCTCCATATTGTCTTTCTTCCATCTATCCGAGTCATCATTTCTTCTCCATTTATCCGTGTCACGACGTTCTGGCTCCCTTCTTTTCCATGAAGAATCCTCGATCTTGTCATCGCGTTTCCTCCAGCGATCCGTTTCATTTTTAAGTCCATCGGAATCCTTATCAGGATTACGCCGCCATGATTCCATTGCTATTAGAGAACAGATACGAATTAAATTTTATATACATCTATAAAAGTATTTACCGGAAAAACATAAAAATGTACTTACAAGATTTAGGACCATCGCGATCGCGATCGCGATCACGATCACGGTCACGGTCACGATCACGCTCGCGATCGCGATCATGATCTCTATCGGTACGTCGCCATGTTGAAGCCAACTCCTTATCTCTCTGCCGTTCTTCCTCCAATTTACGTTCAATCTCGGCTTCCTTGGCTCTGATAATCTCAGCTTGTTTGTTAAGCTTGGCTATACGTTCAGCTTCTCTAGCTTCTTCCTCAGCCCGTCTAATTCTCTCCTCTTCTTCCCTTTTAGCTCTTTCCTCTTCAAGACGTTTCTTCTCCTCTTCTTGTTTAATGCGCAGTTCTTCCAATCGTCTTCGTTCCGCGGCTTCCGCACGTTCCTTCTCCCATTTCGCTTTACGCTCGGCCTTACGTTCCATTTTGCGTTTCAACAACCGTTTGGCACGTTCCTCGTTTAACAATTTTTCAAATTCCTTTAATTTTTCCATGTATATGTTCCTACGTTCAGCCAAGATTTTCGCCAAAAAGATGCCGTGATCCTCTTTCATACGTGCTAAGCGTTCTCGAGTCGCAACGGCTTCCTGTCTCTCTTCGATAGCTGCAGCGATTCGTTCATCTTCTTGCTGCCGCCAGAGCTGCTTCGCTTGTTGCATCCTCTCCTGCACAGCCTTCTCCAGCAATGGAATCTCCTCGAGCCGTTTAGCACGCTCGAGATAATCGACTTTCTTCTCCTGAGACTTCAACTTCTGCTGCATTTCCCTGCGCTCTTTTTGCAACTCTTCAGCTTCTCGTGCCGCGATTTGCTCCGCATCCAGCTTCTTGATCTCATCTTCGTCTAATTTCTTCAGCACCTTCTGCCCATGACTTGTCTGAGAGATCTGCTGCATCTTCTCCTTGAGATGGCGATCTTTAATCTGCTGAATCTCACTCTGCTGACGCTTCCGCTCGCGCTCCTCACGCTCCTGCTCCAATCGTTTTTGCTCGGCCAGCATCTGTTGCCGCTGAAGTTCCTCCTGTCGGCGCATTTCTTCCTCTTCACGGACTGTATTTATGTGCTCGATATACTCTTTTCGCTCCTCGATAATCTTGTGTCTACCCAAAATTCGCTGATGCTCTTTCATCTTAGTTTCATGATAGTGAGCTACCATCGCGCTGCGTAGTTTCTCACGCTCGAGCTTCTTCTTGTTAGGATTTATCACATTAATGGCACGGTGCAACACGGTCGCCATGTTCACCAATTGGCAGCGTATTTGTTCGGATGGCATCGCCTGTAGCACCGGACCGTCCGGATGATCTTCTCGTTGCGCCTCCGAAAGATCTACTCCGAAGTGAACACATGATTTACCGTGATCTATTCTGATTTGCATGTCATTGTAACGCACGCAATCTACCAAAAGACGTTCAAGGTGAAAGTCAGTGGTAAATTTGGCGAGTTCTAAGAGTCTGGAGAATTGTATGGTTTGATAAACTTGAGAAATCTGATGAACAAGACGCACGAGCGTCACATCCTGCAGGGCCGGGATGTACTGGATCAATGGGCTGTTCTCGTCTGCTTGTAATGTTTGAATAACGGAATCGACTCGGCTACAAAGTTCTAATGGATGGAATTCTACTTCCAACCACGAGTATAATTCTTGCAACTGCGGCGACGCGAGGCTGACAACGTTCAAACGAACGATGTCCTTCAACAGAGAGACACGTGTCGGCGGTTGCGAGAGACCTAGAAGAGTCGCGAGCTTTTGAGCTTTTTCTAATGGGCTCTTGTCGGTTTCTATGAAACGATCAAACTCAGGATGTGCGGATGGCAATGGTATCGACAATGTCGCCAATAATACACGGTTGGCCATTCGCTGCTGTTCCTCCGAGGACATGTTCTTCTTCATTTCACGAGAAAGTTGCAGAAGTTTAAACAGCGCGGCCGCATGAAACAGGTAATTGCCAGCCTTCCAGAAAACCATAGCCAGCTTCTGATAATAATTAGCCATCGTTTTTGGTACAGGAATTTTTTTGACAGATTCATCATACCGTGCACGTCCTCCGAAGATTTAAAAGCTTCCTGCCATAATTCCATCTGTATTGCAGAATCTAATTGGTTTAATCTAGTTTCAAGATTCAACTGTTGTGTTTCCGCCTTATTCATAGAAACATTCGACACGAGCGGAGGCAGTTTACATATCTCTTCGAGGTGCTTTCGTAATTTTTCGCATAGCTTACGAAATTCAGTCTTACGATTATACTCGAGGCAAAACTGGAAGGCCATACGCGCAATATCGTGATAAAGAGTTTCTACATGCGCATTAGTTCTGAGCAACTCCAAGCATTGGCAGTACGATTCCCATAAGAACTTCACCCAAGGTGTCAAGATGGTACGATCGCTCCTGTCCTGCGCGTCTTCTCCGCTGACAGCCGACAGTAAAATACTTTCAGGTGTAGCGAGATTATCAAGATCGTCAATGTCGATTACTGCTTGCTGACTCTGCTTGCGTGCCGCATTTGTCTTTTCTTCAGCCATTCTCAAATAGCCACGTATGACATTTTCCAAACTTCCAACATTGACAGATTGAAACATATTTCGGTATTGGAACAAGCCTTCCTTCGCTATGTGAGACTTCTTCAGTTCCACACAAAGGTCCAGATACTTGAACATTATAGGCTCCAGAACAGATTCTGACCAGTTGTATGTCCATTTTTTATTACGGAAGACTTCTTGCAAGGTGTCTAATGCTCGAGCTGGTTTACCTACTTCTATGAATTCTGTTTAGAAAGAAAAAAAACATTAATGTATAAACTATAGTAAAGCCAGCTATACTTAAGAGCTAAAATATATCTTTTTAACAATATAGATTTACATAAAATATATTATATAATTACTAAATGTATGACAAGATGCTAAAAGATATAAAACACTGATATAGTAATTTCAATTTATCAAAATTATTTAACTACATTATATTACAGCTTCCTGGACTCTAAATAAAAATATCCAGTTGTGGGAAAAGGGAAGAAAAATTTTGTAAAAATTGTTATGGCACATCACTTAACTTATGTAACAAACTAGATGTGACAAAGTGATGCTACAAAGCACTTACATGGAAAACAAAATCAATTTACAACAATGCACGCGTGCAACATCAAAAAATGAAAATTACAAGATAAAATATGGTAGCAAATTCGGCCGGACCTCTTTCTAGGCCTCAGCATTCCCATACACGTCCCATATAATTCTATTAAACGAAAAAAAACGCGAAAATTACTTTACGTACAATTCAGAGAATTTGCATAATAATTTCAGTGTAAATCGCACAACCGCGGCTTTCCGCAGCTTCAACGGGCCACGGGGCTCGTTCGATGCGAATGCATATGGTCGTGAGAGAGATAAAGCTCCATAGAAAGACAGGTAGGGCGGCACGTAAATTTTCCAGCTACTGTGCGGCGCGACAGGTCGATTCGTTAGAACTTCGAGATTATCTCGGCGAGCGAGAACCACGAAAAAAAAAAAACCAAAACGCTTTGCGTGCGAACGCTCGGACGCGGTGCGGATCTTCTTTTTTTTCCTCGCGCGGAACAGTGGAGCTTGATGCCATCGGCCATGTCACGCCGTGTAGGACGTCAGGCGGAACCCCGCGGCTTACCGTTCGCCCGTTTCAGGGCGTTCTCGGGTCTCTGCCCGTAACGCGCCATGTTTCCTCGTCGCGGCTGCGATTACAGCAACACCATAAACACCGGCAGGAGCTTCACGGCCGTCCGCAAGGGTCGTAAATCCGATTGCGCGCGACAACGTGTGCCCAGCACGTACCCTCGACCGCGTGTACCGGATAGGAGAGGCGGTCACCGAGAGGCAAGATGGCTTCCCGTAATACGTAAGTCAGGACCCGGAGCTGACGTCCGGGAGGGGACGCGCAGGTACGGCGAATTTCCCGTCGCGGAACGATCACGTAACCGACTGCGAATTACACCCGTTCCTCATGAAACTCTCGAAGTGTCAGCGACGCCTGTCCAATCGTCTGCGGCACTGACACGAGACGTTCACGGATCGACGCTCGATTCACGCGGTGAGAGCGAAACGGAGCGACCTCTCGCGTCACTCCCCCTTCCCCGCAACGACAATAGGTGAAGCTCCAACGGCTAATTGGTTGAACTTTGCGACACTACAAGACTTTCGATAGTCGCGATTTCGATTATCGAAAGATTTCGAACGTCCGCGGAATGTCGAACTCGTCGTCGAGAGTGTTCTTTTGCGATCATCCGAAAGTGGACAGATACCGCGCGAATAATGGAAACGTTTAATATTTACACGTCGTGTATGTACGTCGCTATAGAGAAAAATGTGAGAGTTGTCATATTTCTGGATCATGGGATCTCGAATCGAAGAATTGTGTAACACTCGTAATGATGGATCGCGATCACCTTTTAATCGTTTCGTTTTCCCCGAAAATTCGACAGAATAAAACGATGGAATACGTTTTAATTACCGTAAGAATCTTAAATTTTTTATTAATGTTTTATTTTTAAATTATAAATTATCCCTTCTTCAAATTTTTAAGACATTAATAATCAAACATAATTATGCAATTATTTGGAGTATCCGAGAAGATGGATATTTACAACGTATATTGATGAAAACTTATTTTTTATTTCATATAACAATGAAAATAGTTGTTTAAGAATCATATATTTTATTTATGTATTATATTTTGTTTGGTGTTAATTTTATATAACGAAGAAAGGTGCCTTATATATAAAAGACAAATCGTACATTTTATTTTGTTTATATATTTTGTTAAAAATATTTTTTAATAACATGATTAGCAATACAATGGATATAATTAAATAGTTTTGGAATTCGGATACATCAGATAGGAAAAGTACAATGAGCGAATATAAAATGATTTTATATAATAATTAAGCAGTAAGAATTAAATTTTATACAAATAATACATTTTATTTTGTTTATACAAATGTTTTAAAAACAATATAAGAAGTATAATTAAAATCGCGCGTGGATACATCGAGTAGGAATAAGCAACGATCAAATATAAAGTTAGAAAGATATCACAAACATTTGTTACAATCTAAAAAATAAAAATTAACAAATACCAATAATTTTATTGGTATCTATTATAATTACAAATAGATTACAAATACATTTTATTTCTCATTCTATATCTTAATGCATTTAAAGACTTTGGCTTGTGAAATATATTATCATAACATAAAGAGATTTTCAGCAATAGCTAAATTAATAAGAAAACTTTCTACAGCCGGTGCTAAGTTTTTCTCTCTAAATATTTCGATGGAGATCATTCTTTTGCCATCTGGAGCCTGTACTGTCGCTAACGAAGTCAATTGATTTAGAAGGTCTTGCGTTTTGTCGCTTATTTCAGATATAATCTGTGCTTCCGTATAGTTTTGATTTTCGCACAACTGAATCATAAACAAGGCTATTTCCTTGTGAGTTTTCGTCATTGTGAGACTCTCTGGAAAAAAATAATGAATGTAAATTAAAACAGTTATCTATTATTATCTAGTTATCTATTTCATTAAAAGAATATATACATGTATGTTTTATAGATATAAATATGAATAAAAATTTTTTTCCTTTACCTTTCGCATGCGGTGCTACAGTAATTTCTCTAGCAGGAATGTTCACAAGTAAATCATATAAATCTATTCTGGATGATATCGAGCTATTGTTGCAACCTGCCACGTAGTGCGAATATTTCTATAACAATCATAATGATTATATAACGATACAAATAACAAAACAACTCTTGCAACATTTTATTTTGAATAAAGAAATTATATGCCATTTATAATTTCTTGTCATCAAAGATATCATTTTTTATCGAATACTTGCCTTTAATTCGATTAATTCATCATTTACCAAATCAATCCAGGGAAAGAGATTGTCAGTAATTTTCCTGTGCTTCATCAACGCAGGAAATGTTCTTATCCATTTAAAAAGCTGTTCCAAGCTGTGATGATATACAATAATCTTTTTTTCAATAACAAGGCAGTATATATCAAAATTGTTTCTAATTCAAATGTTTTAATCAGTTCTTTGACATTGGTACTAGCTGCAAAACGATGAGTATTAAAATCATCGGAGACGAACGTTCCATTTTCCTGTGTCGAACATGATCCCTTCGTGAATACAGATAGGTACAACTGTAGGATCTCCGTAGGCTTCCCAGTTTTGCAATACATTTTGCTGAGGACTCGCGAAAGCACTTCATACTTTTGCAGATTAAAATCTTTTGCGAAAAGAACTAGTGCAAACTGTTTTACCTAATTATAATAATTCATATATAATTTACAATGTTTAAAATATACAAGAAAATACTTGTTAAAAGCAAGAGAATAGATATTCACCTTTGGTAGTTTGTCAGAATCAAATACTTCGCTGCAATGTATATAGAACCAGTCATGACCATGTCTTGCACATACAAATGTATGAGGAGATGAATGTTCCAATTTCAAATTACATTTTCTCGTGACTGCAATTTTTTGTGATTCCGTAACCGATGGATACGACCATGTCCACAAAACATCTCCATTACAATCTTTCTCTGTAATTTTCGTTCTCGATTAAGTTCAAGAAAAATATATAGTACATTTATAGTACATATTTATCATATTCTTACTTTCTATTATAAGAATACTATACCTATCACACTGCAGGAAATTAAATCCGTTAATGGTGCCATGTGAAGAATTTTCAAAATAAATAACTAATAATGATAACTATAAGTGAATATCAAAGCATTCGTTATTTTCTATTGCATTGGAAATATGCAAATATTTCACTTTTTATTTTTTTCTTATAGTATTCTATAATTTGATCACCAAATATTATCTATCTAAATTAATTATAAATTATTAGAACAAATTTTATTGATATATGTCGTGAGCACTGTCAAATCGTGATAGAAATTGAGGTTATGTTTAAATTGCGAACGCCCTTCCTCTCTCTTACTCTCTTTCTCTCTGTATCACTATCTTCTCTTTGTATCACATTTGCACTTTAGTTAGTAAAATGAAAGAGAGAGAGAGAGAGAGAGAGAGAGAGAGAGAGAGAAGAGAGAGT